ATATATATATTTGTATATGCTACCCTCCACATGTATATACATATGTGGCTCAACATGCAGGGGATCGTTTGACAACCCCGCACCTTAGAGTTTCAAGACAGGGCACCAACCCGGATGTCCGAATTGCCGCTTTCATTGAAAAGCAAGAAAGGAGAACAATCCGATCACTTTCAGTTAGAATTCGGACTAAGATATCAATGTCGCAACTTTGGATCTGGAGCTGAAATGTACTGACAAGTTGGGATTTCGACTTGGAGCTGCCAGCCGCACGTGCCCAATCCCACTTCCAACCTGTACATATGAGCAACGGTCAATTCTTCAGGGACGACATTGGATGCACTTACCAAAATGCCATTGCAAAATGCGGGTTACTCGCCAATATCCAATGTCATTGGGGGACACAATGACAATGTGTTGACATGTAGCGATTTCCCTGAGCTGCCAAAGTGCCCTTCGCGTGCTACCCTTGTACAAACAAGTTGCGACTTTCGCGCTGAGCCAAAACCACCGCAACCCGAGAAAGGACAAACCTATGAAAGGCTTCAGGATCTGCAAGAGGGCGTAAGGTTTATATCATATTTTCCGGGTTATGGTCAACTGTCCTTTGATCTGAGCCTGCGCCGGGCGCCGGGCGCAGGCTGACAGCCCTGAGTCTCTCATCGTGAAGTATGTCCAGGTCCTGTCAGAACGTTGACAGCTGGCTCCAGTTCCTGCAAGCTCCTGGCAGGCTGGCGATTTGGGAGCCAAGTTTGGCGGGAGCATCACCGAGTATGAGCTGAGGCACAGACGTTCTGAGTGATATGAGCAGCAAATCCAACGGAGCAGCGTCGATTGTACATGTTGCACAGGGAGCGCACTCACGGAATCTGCAAATGGGTTCATTCAGGTATGCACGCAGAGAGGAGTACTTGAACGACCCGGAAGCCGGGCAATTGGGCGAAGTCTTGCCCCACGAGGCCCGGAAATTTTCCACCGAGCGCGGCGTTTTCAAAGGCGCTGGTCAGGTGGGCTTGCTCCGTTGGCCTCCGCCGCCTCATGGAGAATCTCCTCCGGTGGGATGCCAAGTCGAGATCGGAGCAACAAACGCGAGCAATGCAATAGGCATCATGGAGTCATACAACGGAACAAGACAATTGACTTAACTTCTCTGGTTCAACGGAGTCTCTAGTTTGGTTTACTTGACAGAAGGATAAGCATGCAGTCGCTGCAAGTTGCGGCTCTATGGCTTCGGAATTTCACATGCGAAGGAGCTCAATGTCATTGGTCGTTTTTTTTGTTGCCTGCAGTCCTTGCTGATTTGGCGAGCGAGGCAACATGGAGACAAAGAACAGAGCCTTGTTCTTTTTTTTTAACATCAAGCCTGATAGACTTGATATGAGCCAGGACGCAGCGTTTGAAGACCACTTTGCAAAGCGGGCTAGGTTTGTTTGCGAAACGAAAATAATACCATAGATAAGTGGAGAACGTGAGGCAATCTGTAATGTTGGCGACGCGTGCTGAGGAAGTGCAACTTTCGAGCGCTGGAGCTGTAGAAGTGTAATGCGCATCTTACACTTGTACACAGTGGAGGGCGGAGGGAGTAGACATGTAGAATGTCCACCATGCGCAATGAACACAACGTGATAAGAACCCTCCCAAAATCAACAATGTTGAAATGCCTAAGGCTGGACAACGTGTGTTGACACTTTCTCACGAATCGCTGCACAGCCTTGGCAAAAGCCAGGCGTTTGGAGGGTATGCAGCTAAGGTTCGCGTTACCGGACTCATCACAGGACGAACCTACGTATTCCAGGCACGGCACGGGCTCGAGTCCCATGACTTGACTGGAAGAGGTCCGCGCCATCAACGCACATGGAGCCGGACTGTGGAGTTTTCCGAGCCGCACTCAGCATCATGGCACTTGAGCTCCCGGGCCATGGGATCGGAGGTCGGAGCCATTCAAGACGCCCAACACTCAGATGGCTGTTGTCAAAACCAATGGGATCCCATTTTAGGGTAGGTGCACCACCCGTCTTAGTCTATTTTAGTGGGGACTGGGATGTTCACTGGGCGCACCGGATTTTGTTTCCTTTTGTCAGGCTGCCTTCCCGCCCCGATCGCCCAGAACCGGTCAACGTGGCGAAAGGTGCGTGATGTATTGGCCTTTGGGAATGTGGCCCGTGCGTTGCAGGTGCTTTGAATCCTTTCAGCGCCAAACTGCTGGAGTCTCAGATGGCCAAGCATGTTGGCATCGAGCTTGCTTGGGTAAGGAAGATGATCCTGCCTGAGAGCAACGGCAGCAAAATCACCGGATGCAGGTGGAAAGCTGTGAGTGGGAATGCAAATTCTTTCCATCCCATGCCAGGCTGATGCATTTGGGACCCAATTGGAAGAATCGTCCAAAAGTCACAGACTGGAAGGACATTGCTTTTGAATGCGCGTGCAGCAGTGCTCCGAATTCCATTAGCTAGCAGGAGCTGAAGATTGTGGAGTTTGATGACTGCGAAATCGAAACAAAGCCATCAGAGGACACATCAGATTCCTTGAACGTCTTTCAAAGCGACAAGCGTGCTATAGCAAAAAGGACTCGGACCTAGCCACGGATCCCCTCGTGCACGTGTGGGAATTCACAGCCGGGAGCCGAGGGAAGAGGCGACATCGGGAGCAGTGCCAGTCGTTCTCGAGCAAAGGTTCTGCATCTCGAGCCGGGCGCAAGCTACAGGCGGGACATTGGGCGGACCGCCGTGCCGACAAGTGTGCTGTTGTTTTCTGGCCTAAACCAACAGCCACTTTGAATTTCGCGTATCAAGCAACACAAGTTGGTAATTGTGCCGTTCAGGTTTAAGTTCTCCTGCATCAATGCCGTCGGCGAGTCCGAGGTGAGTGATGAGTCCAACGTGGCGAGAAGCCCGGCATTGCATGCTGAAAGCAGACAGCTGGTCATGCTCCATACCAAGGTCACAACGATGCCGACCACCCCCGACAAGTGCACAGCTCCATTTTTGGCCAACGAGGAGGAGCCAAAGCGGCCATGGGCATAACCTATGGCCATGGGCATGGCCATGGGCATAACCTATGGCTCCATTTTGGGGTGGATGACCACGGTGCATTGAGACTTGCCTGGCCCTGACCAGGATGCAAAGCCATATTCGATCACCTTTCACTGGCACACACCACACGATGGTGGCTCTGACATCCTGCAGCTTGGCAAAAGTTTACGGCCAGAGGAATCAAGCAACCTGATTCAGGCGGAAGACGCAACCTGTCTTCCCGCAATCCAGCCACTGCACACCATCCAACAAGAGAGCAGTTCGCATCGCAGCCCAACCAGCTTTTTCTTCCTGAATTGGCCAGACATTTTACTGAGGCAACAAATCATCCCAGGTTGCTTGTGGTATTGGCACATGTGAAATTTTATTGTGTTCTTTTCAACCTCTGCTAGTCAATACATATATATATACACACACACGTAATATGAGTTGTGCATTCTATGCTCTTGTTCATTTGGAATGCCGGCAGGATCTTGAGCATTCTGTCATCCCTCTCTCACAGCTGCTCAAGTCACCTTTCGCAGAGATCAGGGTCAGGCTGTGTGCTTCGTGTGCAGCAATACACCTCAAACTATCTTTCCAGGTTCAGAGCCAGGTTTCAGTTTCTTGTCAATTCAGTGGGACGCTTTGGCCACTTCCCTCATGTCCACCTTGCCCTACAAACAGTCGAGCGACTACTGTTTCCATTCTCGGTGCTTGACGAATTCCCAGGCATTACACTTTGATCTGGGCCACAAACATGCGCTTCCAGGGGTACAAGGCACATGCTGACATTGAGTTGGCACAAGCAGAGCGTGGGTTTGAAGGTCATTGACAACGTCACGGAGGCGCGGTGCTTGTCGATCACATGCTGTGAATGACCTGGCATGAGTCCAGAAAGACGCCTGTCATGTTGCTTTGGCCCAGAACACCTACACCTTGGACAACATGGAGCCGAACATGCCCCTCGACTGCACTTGAAACATGTCGCAATGTGGTCTGAGCCGCCGCCTTTGTTGCATCACCGTTCAGGAAGCTGTACTTGCGCGTGGCTGCTTCTTGGCTACCAAGCGTATGCGATATATGTCTCAGAAGATGGTTCGTCAGTGTGTCGCTTGAGTCGCTTGTGCAAAACCAGGCCACAAATGACGTCGGGCAGGGGAAGTTCTCGGACTGCGTGCCGCACATGGGACAAGGGACTATGCCTTAGACCATGTGCTGATTGAAGGCACCCAATTGATGATGATACATTCTTGCTCAGGGTCATTGCTACAATCCCGCGAGTTCCATCCACTGTCAGAGAGTTGAATGGTGAACCGTCGGAAACCAAAGTCGGCGCTGGCGCCTGAGTTTGGTGAGTTTGATGATGCTTGTGGCCATGTAATTGCAACTTGACTTGCTCAGGCAGTTGTGCTTCGCTGGCTGAAGCCACTGCAGGATGGAGGCTGTATGATTTCCAGGCCCTCGGCTTTTTTGGCGCGCCAGACCCGGACTCGGCTCGTGTGAAGAGGTACCGCGTCTGCTTCTCCCAGTTCGAGGATTTCTCCGAGGCCAAGGAGGTCGGGCAGAAGGTCTGACCCCCAGCCCAGTGGCCCAGCGAAGCAGCGCTTTCCGGGCTTGGGATCGCAGGCCGGGCGCGAGTGCCAAGTCACCGATCTCAAGCCGGAGAGCCATAGCCTGTCTTTCTCAATGCCATAGCGTGTCATGGGGCACTGCGTGTCATGTGAAAGTGGGGTATGTCAGGAGACAGACTATTACTTCAAGGTCGCTGCAATCAACTCGGTTGGACCTGGGCCCTATGGGGATGTAGTTACGGCCGGAGACTTGGCTTTGCCTTGTGCGAAACAATCCATTATCAGCTGGCCCAGATCAAGACACTTCCCATGCCACCAGAGAAGCTGCGAGCTTACTCCTGCCACTAGGAGCACCCTTCTGCAGCGCCAAGATTCGTTTCGTGCGAACTTGCGTCGTTCCTTTTTTGCGCGAGCTGACTCTGGAGCTTTGCCTAGGTTCATTCCGCCGCGCCAGCCGGAGCCTCCACAGATCAAGCTGGTTTCCGAAGAGGGAGTGGACTTTATCAAGGCACAGCGCCATGTGGCTGTGGGTCAAAACCAATGGGATCCCATTTTGGGGTTTTCGGTGCACCACCCATTTTAGTCTATTTTAGTGGGGATTGGGATGTTCACTGGGAGTAAGGGATTTTGACCCATGGCCATGTTGTGATGGGCAAAAGTCGGGCCAGCAGAGACACGGCAGGCACGATGGGTCATTCCGGAGACCTACGACAACAAAGTTGGCTTCATATACGACCAGGTTCCATGCAGAGTTTGCAGCAGTGGTACGTGTACTTTACTCCTTACAGAAACATTGAGCTTGACTTGGATTGAGCTATTGCCCTTGTCTCGCAGTTTCTCTTTATGACCTGGTTTCCCTGTATGCTTTTCTTGTTCTGACAGGATTGTCGATCATGGCCTTGCCATCTCCCATACTTCGTAGCTTTTCCGTCCCAGTTCCTCTGCATGTTTCTAGTCTGTTTCTGATAGGATTGTCGATTATGCAATGGCCATCGGTCTTGCCTTCGCAGCTTCTCTCTGTGTTTCTACTTCCTCTTCGCGTCTCTTTCTGTTCTGACAGGATTGTTCATGTTTCAGTTTCTGACAGCATTTTGATCACGGCCTGCAACCGTGGCTATTGGCGTTGTTGTCGTCGTTGCAGTCTTTGGAACTGCCATTGGTGCTACCGGTGCTGGGGCCTTCGGCATTTCCTCCTGCTATTATTTTATTTATTGTGCGGTGCTATATTGGTGTTGTTTTCTCCTCTGGGGCTGCTTTTGCTCCTGCTACACTGTGAGTCGGCTGCCCAAAAACCAAAATATTATTCTCCCAAACTCCGTTTGCAAATGCTTCGAATGCGTAGAGCAATGCAGGCAGTGGTGCCTTATGCAGCAGTCAGATCCTATATGTTCCAGACTTGCCATTGCCAGCCACCCTTCCTGGACACCTCCCTTATTGGGAGAACTTTGACCATCCGCACCTTACGCCCAAACTGCCCGCCAGGTGACTGTAGTATGAATGGGTTCTGCTGTACCTTTGGTTGCCTAAAGGTTCAAGCTGCTCGTAGTTGCACTTGCCTGGTGGAGCTCTGTGGCCTTTCGTAAGCGGACTTCAAAAGAAACTGACGGAGTCAGAAAGAAACTTGTTTAGTGTTTGCCTCGGACTTGTGTGTTGCCTTGGCCTATGGCCTAATTACAAGCAGCGCTTCATGCAAGTGTGCTTGCCCAGCACACAGACACAGAGTTCTGTCCTCCTCCTTGGTAACAGGAAAAGCAGACCCACATGATCACCCACTACAGCGTCTACTTGCAGGCCTTTCATTGACAGAGTGTTTGCCTTGCAAAAAGACTGCCATGGGCCTGTTGCTCTCAGCATTTGCTAAGACATTGTCACATGTATTTCGACATCTCTAGCCTTTTTTTAATGACCCGGGATACTTTACCAGACAAAACACGGCACATGTCTGCCTTGCGAATTTGGCGTGCACTGTATGGATGTGTTCAGGGTGGGTACCCTTCGCCTGATGTGAACGAGCACGAGGAGCTCAAGGAAAATGTCCCGCAGGCACGACATGCAAGCTCAAGCTGTTTATGTGCAGCGCTGTTTGTTGGGACCCCAGGTCCGAGACTACAAGACAACGCCCAAGAACGGCTCCAACGCTGCTTGGTGCAAGCTCAGTGCAATGGCTGCTGTGGGACGAGTGATCTTGGAAAAGGTGCTTGAAGCATGCGGATGAGTGGCTCGAAATTGGACCATGCCCATGTGCTTGAGGTTGCGAAATTTGAAGGGCTGGTTCCTGGACGCCTTTAAGCTGCATTTTGTCGCTTTCGTATGTGCATGGTTCGCAACTGGCAAGCGTGTCAAGGCTACTACCACTGCATATTGAAGGCCATGTCCATCTCCACGCAATTCGAAGCTGCGCGACTTGCCAGGCGTTCAGTGCAGCTGGTGAGTCCCCGTGGTCCTGGCCTTCCGATGCACGGAGCCCGGTGACTGAGTGATGCCGCGTGTTTTTTTTTCTTTTCCCCCAACGGCTGAAAGCTTTGGGGTCTCAGCCCAGATAGGCTCCGGGGTGGTCCGGGGCGGCCCTGAGGTAATGTTCCACGAGGGCTTTACCAGGGTTCCACCGGGCTTCCACAAGAAGGTTCCACAGGGGCCCACAGGGTTCCACAAGGCTGCTGCCTTGCAGTTAAGACAGCCTAAGCAACACCGGCGGCGGTGGATTGGATTGGTAGTTTGGAGCTTCCAGGCCTCGATTGCGCCGTCGGGCCTCGGCTGTACCTTAATAGCTAATGCAACAAAGCAAAACTGGCGGTGCGCTATGATTGGTGGCTTGGATCGGTGGTTTGCTGCCCGGCTGCGGTCGGGCCCGGGCACAAAAAAGAGCACCGCATGCTGTTGGGGATTTCACTTTTTGTTTTTGTTTTTTAATACATAAATAAAAAATAATAAGGAACAACCAACAAATCGTGCGATGCCCAGGTTGTCCGTGCACCACCGGGAGCACCAGATGCTGCCGCTGAGGCAATGGCGGTCCGAACTCGCGGGTTTGTGCCATGACTGCTGTGAGCAAGGATGCCAGTGGAGGTACATGTTGTGGGCACCACCTCAACTTCGATCACCGTGACTTGGCCCAGCCAGGGCCTTATGTGTGGGATTTTGATTGGGGCAACACCACGGCATACTTGAGATTCTGAGTTCTGCTTGCTAATCGGATTTGACAGCAGGCCCATCCGGCAACGGCGAATGCATCACTTCCTTCTACCTTCGGTGTCGTGAGGCCGTTGAAGCTCCAAACCGTTCTGCATACACTCGAAACTGTCTCAGGTTCGTGTTCTGCAGGGCTGGTTGGATGGACAGCCGGCCGATCCAGATCATAGTGGTCCCACTGCAGGTGCTTGTGCTCGTGTCAACTGATGGCTACTCATGTGACTCAATGCTTGACTTTTCTCAACTCTCAGCACCAGGTCAGTATGCCGAGATTGACGAGTGGTGGGCACCAGTTGCAGCCTCGGCTGACATGGAACTACATGTGAGAGGAGTCTTGCATTCGGCGCAATGCATCCATGGTGGGCAAGTGTGAGGTGGCCATCAATTTCTGTGATGCGGCCTTCAACTTATTTGCAAGTTTCAATTTGCAAGTGAGTCACAAGTAATTCCTGCTCAAACAACCTATACATTGGATGCCTTGCTCATTTCTGAGGACGAATTTGTCGGAATGTGAGATCTGAGGCGAGCGAACAGGCTGAAGGTACCAGTGAGCAACGCAAACTGCTGGCCCGACGTGCCTCTGTGCTGGGTGGCGTCAAGCACACACACGTCGCTCTGGCCCGTTATGCTGGTTGGAGGGCGAGATGCGCGTGCCACAGTCAATCGGACAGCTGGCCAGATGCAGTTGACAGGTCATCAAAGGTCTGCAACCAGCAAGTTACTACGAATTGGAGGCGGGATTTTGATCCAGCTTTGCAATCAGACTGGCTTGTCCTGGTAGGTGGTGTCTGAGAACAGCGTCGGCTTGAGCGGCCCTACTCTCTCAGGGCGCGGTTGATGTGGCATGTGGCATGAGCTGTGGCATGAGCAAATGGATCGCACAGGGAAGTGCGGACCCGATCGACAAAACCAGGGCCACCCGGAAGCTGTGTGGGAGTAGGACCGCACCACCGCTTCATTTGATCCATCCTGCACAACAAAAACAGTTTTGTGGCAGGAGATGCTACGATCAACTCCGTGAAGTTTGCCTGGAAGGTGCACTTTTATTCAGTGAACCCATTAGACCTCATGTTCGGCTGCCAGGCAGCATCATATACAGGTGGTGAGGATATTCTGGGATACGAGGCACCTAAGTGGCGAAGTGGCATTTGACATGCGCCGATGTGGATGTGAAGGTTCGCTGGATTCCGAACGCAGTCGGTAAACCGGCGCACCGGGCTTGGCTCTGCGCATGAGAAGCGTTGGTTCGATTGGCTGGGTGCTGGTGCACATCAGTTGTTGAGGCCGACATCTCTGGATGCTCTACTGGATGATTCTGCAGTGCGAATCATTGTCGGGCCCGATTGCCACGAACTTGTGGCAGAGGCCCGCAGTTCTGATCACGTAGCATAGGCATTCCAAGTCGCTTCGCCGTTTGGTCCTGACTTGTGCGGTTCAGGGACTGCACCCTGGCGACGCAGCGATTCCGGTGGTCCGTGCATGGACAGAAGTCAGTCATGGAGTCCCGGTCCCGATGAGAAGTTCCGGTCAACAGCCAACCTCAGTGAGCCTCAGGATTGGTGTCGACTGCCAGCGGATGCCGAGCTTGAGGACATGTGAGTTGCAAGGTTGCCGCAAGTTGAGTTGTGCCTGTCATCAAGCACTGGATGTACACAGCGGTGATCTAACTAGATTCAGACAGGTGCATACTTTCTGCATTTTGACTAGGACCTCTCAGCCTTGCCGGACATGCCGGCCGAGACGTCTATCCCCCCGCTGCTGGAAAGGAGAGGCATAGACCGGGCATTTCTGCTTGACAAGTGCCATTCTGCAAGGATGCCAACACATCACTGCAAAAAACAACATGGAGTGTTTCCAAGATTGGCGTCTGAGCTCCCCGCCCAGCAAACATTGTGCGCTATGCAAACTTCGGTTGATGTCACACAGGCCGACTTGGCGTTGAATTTCCATGACGCCGAGCAGAGAAGCACAGACCAGTTTTCGCAGGACTCCTGCTGAGGACCACCGGTCCAGGCCTCAGGGCCGCGAGACCTGGACAGCAATTCGCGACGTGACGCTCGCCGAGGCTGTATTCCTTGAAGGCAAGCTGGACATGTCCCGATCTGATGGGACGGCCTATCCAGCGGCTCGGCGATGGGTTCTGATAGAGCGACCAACCTTGGTTTGGCTTGAGATTTTGGTCTTCGGCTCTGCGGACAGGTACTTCAAGTTGAGGCACGCTGGGCTGCTCGCTCCATGGGTCAAAGAGCCGCAGACCAAATGGACCAAGAATGGCGTCAGGCTCTTCCGGGCTGACACTGAGGAGGAGATTGAGGTGCCTGATTTCGACTTCTCGCAAGGTTTGTCGCCCCATGCCGAGGCCATCCGAGCAGCGGGCAAAGTCTTGTGCAGCTCTTAAACGGCCAACCTGGACTCACAGGTCTGAACAAGCGTACGTAGCCTCATTTCGCTCCGATCCATCAGGGAAGCGTGTTGAGGCCCCCACCAGCAGCCGATGAAGCGCCATGTGAGTTCACGATTGCAGCAGACTCGGTTTGCTTTCCTTGCGCTTCAAAGTTTTTGAAACTGCTTGCAAGGAGAAGCCACCCAACAGGCCCAGCGACAGAATCCACTCAAAACCCAGTCAATTGAAGGTTAGTATGGCACAGTCCCAACCATAAGCAAGAACCATTCAATTCTTTGTATCGGTTTGGTTGGACCACTATACCATCAGGTCTTGATCATGACTCAATGGTGCTAAAGTGGCGACTGGCAGGGATTGGGTCATGGGCGAAATGATCGAGATGCATGGTCTTCACAAGGCGACATCAGTTTTACCCTGGTGTAATGCGTTCGCCTTGCCCAATGCCAGGCTCTTACTCCAGGAACTCCGTATGTTGTCTACGTCCGTGCTACGTCGTCAGTGGGTGATGCGAAGGCCATGGCTTGATTCTTGCAGTTTTCCTTTGCTTGGCCATGCCTTTGCTAGCAGGGCTGGGGTGTGGCGAGCCTTCCGCAGACTGCGCCTCCGGACTATCCTAGCAAGCCTGCCGGGGCCTAAGACACAGGGCAATTTGACAATAAATTGGCAATAGGCGTGAAGAGTCGCGATGTAGATTGTTGGTCACTTTCCTAAGAGTTTGGATCTTTGTCAGATCCGGTCAACGAGGACAAGCCAACTTGTCCCTGGCAGTGGCCGACAGCCTTGGAGGCTGGCGACCAAATGTTCAATGGAGTGAATGTCAGACAATTTGCAAGCCTGGGCTCAGTGCCTTCAGCCGTGTATCAATTGTCACTTGCAACGTCAGGTCCATTGGAAGGAACCATGGCTGAAAGGCTCCGAATTGAAGAGCCGGCCACTCGTGGTTGCTGCAACTGGCTGTGGGTATTTGCTGCCTGTCCAGCCTCGTCGTTGTGAGTTCCTGTGTGTGTGTGTGTGTGTGTGTGTGTGTGTGTGTGTGTGTGTGTGTGTGTGTGTGTGTGTGTGTGTGTGTGTGTGTGTGTGTGTGTGTGTGTGTGTGTGTGTGTGTGTGTGTGTGTGTGTGTGTGTGTGTGTGTGTGTGTGTGTGTGTGTGTGTGTGTGTGTGTTTGTGTGTGTGTGTGTGTCATACAAAATGCGCGGGCCCGAACAAGTGCAGGATTCCTCTTGGAAACATGCCAAATCTATCCCCACAAAGGTGGCAGAAAGTCAACCTTGGCATAGCTCAGGTGCCTCATGATGTTGCACATAAGACTTTCGGCGAGCGACAGGCGCTGAGTTTCCAACCATGCTTCCTGCTTTCTCCGCAAAAGTGCAGATTCACGTGGATGGTATGGAGTACGCAACAACGTACTACTTCAGGCGCCTGCGAGCATCAGTGCATGATATTGCGAAGCATCTTTCAGGATTTGAGTGCATATTGGACACCTGATAGCTTGCTTCGCAGTGAACATACGTACGAGGGAGCGCAGAGATACACTCCTTGCGGCACCATTCCTGCAATGGACAGCTTTAAGATCCCTTGAAATAGCCTCCGACCAGTTCTGTGCCCAGGGTTCGGGTCCAGAATGCCGTGGGATGGCCGCGGCACCCAGCATGCGAAGCATGGGGCGCTTCGCACGCGTCGCATGCGTCGCGTGTGCATCGAGGTCCGAGTGGAGCGACATCTCGGAGGGCTTCATGACGGGCGCCTGCAGGCGGGATTCGGAATCGGATCGGGCCCGCGGGTTGAAAGCTGGCAAGGCCGGCTCCACCGAAGCGGCCCGTGCTGGAGCATGTGGATATGGACTGCGGGAACATGATGCAATCATTCTATTGAATTCCATGAATCGAACGTAAGTGCATTTCACAAGGAGCAGCTGGTCTTCCGGTGGAATCAGCCCAACAGCCACGGCTGCAAGCTGAGAATGCAGTTTCTCCAACTCAGACCCTAGTCACGTTAATTGTGGCAGCACAGGCGGCAACAAACTTAGCATGCAGTTGTCAATCATGGAGTTCTCAGTGCAGCAGCGGGTCTGATTGACGCAACCCCACCAAGGGGATAATGTCGCCCAGACCGGCCACATTTCAACGCAATCTACAACTCGCTCATTTTGCATTTGGTTGGTCGCGCGTGTCAGAGACACTAGGCGGAGGATAACGATTCGATGGGAGGCCGAAATTGCACAAGGAGCACACAAAAGGAGCAAATGTTCGTGCCAGTGGTTAAACGGTTGAACTGCATTGGCCGTTCAGCTTCACCGGCAAAGCAGGGATTGACCGACTCCAACCCATCGCGTTTGAGGCTCTGCCATCGACAAGTATGAGGTGTTCCTCGCAGACCAAGAGAGGGTGCTCCCAGAGACACAGCAGTCATTGCACTCATCTTGTTGATTCGGGCAAGGTCGCGAAAGTCCCGCAGCTGGTGGAGGACCTCAACAACTGCGAGAACGACCAGGCACTTATCCCCAACCGCCACTTGAGCTGTGCACAAATGTACTTGGTGGTCCAGGAGCAGAAAGAGCTGTTGGAAGCACTGCCATGCAAAGACTTTCACTCCATCAATGCCGCAGTCTTGGATAGTCTTTGGCAAACACTTCATTTCCTCTTGCTTTTGACAGTGTCAGCGAGGTGGAGGAATTTGCAAATCGTGCTGAGCCAGTCGTGGGCTCGAGTGCAGACACTGACTGCAGAGCTTTGCCATGCCAAAGATGAGCAGGACCACATCTTTGAAGGGCTGCTGGGAGGGCTGCAGTATGCGGTGGCGGTGCGTGCCCACAACTTTGAGGCCCGGTGACGTTCTGCAATCTGAAATCGGCCGTTGAGCTTTTGAGCTCGCAAGCCGTGAACAAGCCGTGAGGGTTGGAGCGACTGGTCACCAGCTTTGGATGACATCGTATCGCCGTTTGGTGCTCGGTGAATCCAAAGGTCGGAGTGACCAGATGGTCTGCTAAGGGCCGCCCCGCCTGAAGAAAGTCCGTCTCCCTGGATGTTGGAGGCATGGGCATGGGCGCGCTCAGAAACACGTTTTGAAAGCCAGCGCAGTCAGGCGACGAAGGACACGCTCCGGGTTGGCTTTTCTGTCCCGTGCGCCGCTGACATTTTTGCGGCCAGGCCCACAGACATGGCACTCGCAGGTACGACAACGGGGACCGCATCACGCAAGCAGAGGCACGTTGGGCCCCCCGCTTTTGGGGGCTTACGCGGCTTGGCTGAGGTGTGCTGGTTCCGAATCTCTGGGCCAATGGAGCGGCACATTGCCTTGGGCGGCAAGGCCTGGAGTCGTCTTGTAGCACTCTACTCCCGAAAGCTCAGGTTACAGCGCCCACGTCAGCTTCCAGCAAGGAGGACACTTCGCTTTTTCGTTTCGTGTTTGCGCTTTTTGCCCTATTTGCGCTATTTGAGCTATTGGCCTGCACCAGGACGAAGAGGGCTATGTCACGGTGGATGTGCCAGATACGGTCGAGCGCGCCAAGCCCGAGGAGTACGGAGGGAGTTGGGAGGCGGGGCTTCGGGGCTGCGACTCGACACTCGACTCGACACTCGACTCGATGGCACTTGAGGCCCTGCTCACCGGCCTTGCACCTGGCACTGAGTACGAGGTTCAGGACAGCTCAGATGGGCGTGGGTCAAAATTAAGCCACCAGGGGACCGCAGGTTTTGGTCCATGTTGCCACTTACCAGGGTTCCTTTTTGGTACCTATTTGTGACCCACCAGATGGCATAGGATGGTACAAATGGCACAGAGAGCTCGCTTTGGAGGTGGCCTGCATCAACAGCCATGGCAATGGGCCAGACCAGCCTGAATTGATCTGGAGTCTGCCTGCAAGAAGTTATGAAGCCAGCCAATAATCCATGTGTTTCGATGAAATGGGGCATTTGTCAATACCCTTTGCGAAGAGGCTTTAATTTAAAGCTTGGAAGATGCCAGGCCTTACTCAATTGGCATGCGCATGGTGTGCTGCGCTGGCATACCAGACATGCCTGGCAGGCAGGATCAGTCGGTGATTTCACTCTCGTCAACCAGAACTCTTGCGTCAGGATACGACATGCGATCCCTGCAGCTCAAACTCGAGTGGCGAAGCCTCAACAATTTCAGCGGGTGTCGGCCTCTCAGCCTCCTATCCTCTCAAGCCTCAGACGAAGTCGACTGAGTTGGCGGACTCTGAGGATCAGCGACATGTCGCAGGGCAACCTCTCCGCAGCCCTGGCTTTATTGGCGTGCTCCGCGTTGGCTGAGGCGACATGCGACACGACCCGCAGGACTTGGAGGCTCCGCCGACGCCCAGAAGCAGCATGGACGATGGCAGCGAGAAGGGGGAGCTGGCTGTGGAGGAGGATATGGTCCGGCGCCGGCTTGTTTTTTTCTTCTTGTTTTTCTCCTAGCCACAAAAAGCCTTTGCGGCTCTAAGGCTCTCAGCCTTCCGGCTCCCTCTGCCGTGCAATCTGGCGCCGTTTTCTTCAAGCGGACTCAGAAGTTGGAAGCACCAGAGGTGGGGCAGACAACTTGAGTCTCAAAAAGTCAGAAGCCGCCTTGCCGTCTTGGCTCAGACCGTCAACCTTGGTGCCACAATGCCTCGCCAGCGGCGCTGGAGATTTCTGGTGGGAATGCAACTCATGTGTAAGCCATGCCTCACAGCCTGACTCAGGGAGCAGGCTTTGCCAAAGTGCAGCCGTCTGAGGGGATCTGAGGGCAAGCTTTTATTTTAGAGGTGCATGCCATGTCATGTTCACTGATCCATTCTCGGATATCAGCGCATGCACCAGCTTAATGGTTTCACCCTTTGGCGCG